AAAAATTATTTAGAATAACTCACAGCATCTGAGAAGCAAATAAGTAATTGGCGCTTATTTATTTCCTCATGCTTAGCTGAGCTTCTCCTCTAGGCGCCTTGATAGTGCCACACAAAGGTAAAAGACTATCAGGTTTACGCCGCCTCGGAACGACAAATTGTTTAATGAGAAGCTTTTTTCATTGCTTTTTTAATTACAGAGGTTTGACATTGCCTGCCGCGGGGCGTCCGCTATTGGAAAACATTTTTTTTCGTGTTGCTTGGATCAGGTATCGAACCCTGCACATACGGAGTGGCACCTCCGACCACTCGGCCATGGCAGCCGCTGCACATCGACTACAAAAGAGTATCAATCGTTTTAAAAGGAATAGGGCATACTAACAGTCAAAATAAAGTTAATTACAGCTGTTTGACATAATTTTCAAAGGAATATCTGTCAAAAAAGCTGCACCTAACTTTAGAGTTGGCTTTATTTCGAATATGAATATGCCCCAATAACTTTATGACAATATGCGTGTTATGACACCGTTTCCATGTCTTTACAACACAAACGAGAAAAGCACAAACAAATATCTCACACACAAAAATGTCATAAACATAAATCACTCCGATAAAGAATAACACGGAATAGAAATATACATTTGAGTTGTATTTTATTACATTGCATGTATTTACTTTATTTTTAATTCACCTTCATAGTCAAACTATAAAAATTCATGATAAAAATTAAATTAAGTTTTCAATAATAAACTTTAATAAGTATAAAAAGCGTGGATTGAAAAAAAGCGTTTAGTTAAATTAATCCAAATAGTTTAATTAAGTATTTGATTATAGGGGTTGCATTTAAAATGGAAATAAGATCCGCAAAAAGGAAATAAAGTCCGCGGGTTTTATTTTTTTATTCCAATAAGAAATAACACCCACTGGTATTTTATCCTAAAAAGGAAACAACGCCGGTGCCTGATATTTCCGCGGGTGTAATTCACTCCACTTGCGTTGTACGCACACCGCAGTTGAACTGCATAACATTGCATTCACACCTTTTGGAAGTCAGCCATATTTATAATAAAAAATGCATATATCTTCTCCAACCAAATTTTCCTAGGGAACCAAAAATAAACATTCTTTTGTCCTAGTTGATAGGCCCTTTATTCATATATGAATTTAATCTAAATGGATGCTGAAAACTCTCTTTTAGGGGATTCCCTTAAACTCAGAAAGTCACAAACTGTGTAAAACTCGTAAGTTTACGAGGCTTTTATGGGAACGCCCCCTTTGTGAAAAGGTATAAATAGGTGCGTAAAGTGACTGTTTGACAGATCAACTAGGATTTTGTGAAGCAATTTTTGTTTCGTAGTATTTTACATAACATCTTGTCTCTATCACTATTGGCTAAAATACAATTAAAAATGCCGAAAATTTGCTGAAAACCTATGTCAATAGAGTAAGTGGATGAAATTCATTCATTTTATTCGCTTATTATTTTTTTCATTATTTAATCATACATTTTAGTATAAAAATTTCGTCCCCTCGGCAACACTGAAGTTTACGAGGTCGTTTGCGCATTAAATTTGTCTCGTAATTTTACGAGGGGCTCGTAAACAGAGCTCCATACAAATTTTGGCAGTTCTTCTTCGAGGCTTGTAAATTTACGAGCTTTAAGAGGGAAGACCCATTTTTATTAGCTTATATGTTCCATTTTTTTGACTGTGTCAATTGTGATAACTGTTATTCTTGTCTGAGTCATTTATGTTTGTGCGATTTTTCGTTTGTGTTATTTTCGTTTTTGTTGTAGAGACGTGTTAACTATGACACCCTGTGAATCCCCTCAATATGTATATCATACTGATATTTTATTTTATTAAAGCAGGCTTGCTTGTTAATTAGACAGTTTTGTTATATAGTGATTAGATTTATGCCTAAAACTATTGATATTTTTATAAACTTCTTAGCGATAAACTTTTACTTAGTTTATGTACCAAACAAGTAGGTAAATATTATTGAAGCTGTGACTAGTCGAGTTATCCAGTCAGAATTTTTACTAATACTCTCTGCCTTTTCGAACAATGTATGTATTATTATTTAATTTGAAAACGTGGCTTAACCTTTTTATAAATTTCTTATAATAACAGACTTAAAATACATCATTTTTATTAAAAACATTTTTGTTTGCCGTATTTTTGTGCTTAAGCACTCACACAAATAAACATATACATACATTTGTACTACATAAAAGTTTTAAATTTCAGAAGAATTATTCCTCTTCATAATATGAAAACTTATCTTTGGATTTGTCAAAGTTTTCATGTTTTAACACGTTTTCCATTTGTAAATATTAAAAACAAAATATCAAATTTTTATTCAATCAAACTACATACCCATTATTTACAGTTTCGTCCTGAAAATTTAAACATGATGACATGAATTTAATACAGCTACATATAAAATTTTAATTTATCTAAAGGAGAAAATTTAATTTCCCACATACGTAACTCCCTGGAATTGCTTTTTGTGGTAAAGTGTTTAGCTAAGAAACGAATGTGGAATTGAAAGGCAGGCGCTTCCACTTTCGCTTCTAGGAGCCAAAAATTTAGGAATCGCCTTAAGCGATTTTGGTCGATTTTTTACAACGCTTTTATCAACTTACAACAGTTTAGACAACAACCACGTCGATAGGTATCATATCAAAGAACATGCAATTAGACACTAGAGGTAGATGTCTCCTTGCCGGAAGTAGTTAATCCTAGACGACGCCTTTTTCAACAGTATTTCAGAAAAACACAAATTTATTTCGGAAAAGGCCAGATGAATTTCAGAGACGCACAAACGTATTTCAGAAAAACCTAATTGTATTTCAGAAAAGCTCAAATGTATTTTAGAAAAGGGCAAATGTATTTCAGAG